GCGCCCCCCGTCCCCCCCGGGGGGTGCGGGCCCCTGCCTCTCGGGCTCGGCGGGGCAGGTATTTGCGTGTCCTCCGTACGTGCAAGTAGTTTGCGGCAGGACCGGAACCGAAACTGCCCTGTTCCTTGAGGAAATGCCCTGCCGGAGCGCTGCTCCGCAGCGGGGCCGTGTCCAGGTCCCCTCGGCCGGGCACTGCCCGGTCGCAGCTGCTCCCGGCGGTCCCGCTGCTCCTCAGTCCCCCTGAAACTCCGCAGGGCTGCCTTGGCTCCTGGCGGCCCTTCTTCCCCGCGGCAGCAGTAGCAGTTCTGAGTTTCCTCCTTACCGGGCTCCGAAAAGTTACTGCTGGTGACGAGGAATGGCACAGCAGAGACTAGGGACAGGTTTTACGGCTCCGTTTCCTTGTCGCATGCGTCAGACAGTTGGTGTTAGTAGCAAAAGCGAGAAGTACGTTAAAGCTTGAAAAAGGAAAGCTACAAATAATGCTTTAACAGGAAAAAAAACCACATTGTTTTCAGATAAATCGTAGATTGTTATCTAGTTTTCAGAGAAATCGTGGTTAGAAACAAGCCCTTAACTTTTCGTTGTTACTTTCAGCTGACATTATGGATGTGGTTTTACAGTCTGAAAAAGGGTGTTCTGAGATGAGTTGGCTGATGATACAAGGCATGTTTGAGTGTTTTTCCTAAACAGACAGCGTTTTTAAAAGGTTAAATAGCTGTTATATGAATATATCTAAGATGTCCTGCTTAAGTGAGTCCAAACCTCGATGTTTGGCCCTTCCTTCCAGTTTCCATGCAGTTTTCAAAGCTTAAGTCTTTGCTTATGCTTTTTTAGCTTTCACTACTGTGTCTTCTGTTGTCCATGTAGCAAGGCAGCAGCAGTGTGTTTGCTTTTCAGCTGTTCTGTTAAAAGCCTGGACTGCTCACTGAAATTGCTGGCAGCTTTAAACTTCTGCTTAAGAGCTGTGAACTGTGGCAGCTGAGGGAGGCAGCGTGTGTGTCTGCTCTAACCAGGTAGCAGCAGGGGGTAGGACCCACCATGCCTCCTGAAAGAGGCAGTTAGAGCTCTTAAATCAAGCAGAAAGCACAACTCTTAACTTGTACCCTAGTGCTACTGTAAGTGTCTAGTCATTCTTTCTAAAGATTAGATTATGTTATTAGTTTACATGGAATGTTTACTTTGTATAAGAGGGAAAAGAAAATGTCTAGATTGTTATCTATGATAACAAGCTTCAGCAGAACCATGTATCTCTGTTCTTCCTTTTGTCTGCCAGGTGCCTTCAATATTCAGACTGACACATAGTACCAGCTAGATTAGGATTTTTGTTAGCTGTTACAGAAGTAGCTATCCAGGATAAAAGGCAATTCCTATGTAAAATACATAATAATTTTAACATCATATTATAGTCTTGGTTCTTAAAAGGTCATCTGTTTTCCACGTGTATGTTGCTTCCGTATAAAAGCTTTAGTTTTCATCTCTTTAGAATGCAGCCAGTGCAATCCCCTGCTCTCTTATCTGCAAGTGGTGCCTGTGTGGATGATGTGGTGTTTGAGGATGTTGAGAGCAGTTTTTTTATGGAACTTACCTATACTGAGGGGTTGTTGTGCACAACAGAAGAGTAGTTACTGCAGGTGACTGGAGAGACTACCCAATCCTATCTCCTTCTTCTCTTCTTCATTCCTTTTGCTGAAACAGAGTAATGTTTCTCTTGCATCTGGATGGTAAATGCAAGTTCCAACAACATGCCCTTGAAAAGTATGTAAATATATGTCAGCAGCAATACTACAAAAACTCACAAAAAGCCAGCAGTGCCTTTTTCCAGTTTCAACAACTAGAGGATTTTTATGAACAGTCGTATTGGTAGATTAAGTAATTGATTTGTTTATTGCAAAGTGCTGTTCTGCATGTTTGGTGTTTTTTGGTTAAAAAAAAAAAAAAGATAGCAATCCCTTTGTTGCAGAGAACTATACAGAAAAAAAAACCCACACCAAAACACATTTGAAAAGCATGGGAAATAAATTGATGTAGTCATTGATAACTTTACTGCTTTTGGCACTCTAGACTCACAGGTGGCTGTTAGCGCGGCTGAAGAGGCAGCATGCAGTGCTGGTTGGAACTGGTTAACAGGGTCCTCAAGCATCTTAAGCTGGCTTTGCTTTTGAAATGCAGCTGGAAACTGCATACTCAGTTTTGTAGTTTTTAATGTTTTTAGTGCAGCTGTGCAAGATTGAATTGGTGATGTGTGAGGTTATAAAAATTATCTCTCCCTAAAAAGTGTTACTTTTTATTTTATTTGCTTTTCCCTTACACAATGTAGAAGGTAGGCCGAGCACAGGGGTCAAAAGTTCTGATGTCCCAGAAACAGTCAGGGTAGGATAGTAATCACTGGGAAAATCATGAGGAGCTTCAAGTGCAGACAAAGCCATAACTAATCAAGATATTTTTAGCTAACTGTTGTGTAGTAGTTTCCAGGGAGGTCTTCTCACCTCAGCTTCCAGAGTTTATTACTCTTGGCTGTGCCTTAAGCAGTGATTGCATTGCTTCAGCTGTCATTGAGTGGGTACTAACTTTGACTTCTGTAGATTCCAGAATTTGACAACTTATACCTAGACATGAATGGCATTATACATCAGTGCTCACATCCAAATGATGATGATGTTCACTTCAGAATCTCAGAAGATAAGATTTTTGCTGATATTTTTCATTATTTGGAAGTACTGTTTCGCATTATTAAACCAAGGAAGGTTTTCTTCATGGCAGTTGATGGAGTAGCTCCAAGAGCAAAAATGAATCAGCAGCGTGGGAGACGTTTTAGGTGAGAATATTTGTCCTTCCTCTGTTCAGGATAGTAAACACTTAAAAAAAAATAAAAAATGCCTTAAATATATGCCATGAAAAGTAAAATATATTATGAGTGGTCATGCCTTTTACTTTACTTAGTAGCTTTAATTTTTAATTGAGGGTAACCACCTGAAAAATGTTAATATTTAAAATCAGGATTCCAAAAAGGAAACTTTGCTTGTTATTTTGGTTTCTCTCTGTGTATGTGGGACTTGGGGGCAGGAGGAGCTTTTTTCCTTTTACATTTTCTGTGAAATGAATCTGCAGTGGAGCTCTTACAGATGTGTCCAATGGTTTCATGATCTGTGATAGTCTTATGTATTTGTGAATGATAATTCTAGATATGCCTTTTTGATAACTGCAATGTAATGTTCTCTGACAGTCATAGAAGAATCAAGTTTCTAATGAAAATCTAGTTTCCTGTTGGTACCATTTAGGAATTTAGTCTTTTTAATTAATTTTAAGTCTTGCAGTTGTATCAGAAACAAGTTCAGACTTATTCAGGAGTTAAATTCATCTCCGTTTTCTTTTTAAACCCACTTTAAAAATTCAACTGTATGTATATTACCAGTAAAGCTGTACTTAAGATATTAACACTTTAATAAGGTGATTCTTTCTCTACTCCCTCTCTCCAACCCTGTTTTGGTTTAGATCAGCAAAAGAGGCAGAGGACAAAATAAAAAAGGCATTAGAAAAGGGAGAAACTCTCCCTACAGAAGCCAGATTTGACTCCAACTGTATTACACCAGGTAAATTATTTGATAATTATTTACATTTATGGTTTTGCATCTCTATTTTGGCACTGTTTTCCTATCCTAAGGCTTTTTTTTTTTTTTTTTAATTTTAATTAGAGGACAGGATCAATAAACGCTCAAGTAAGTTGTGAACACAAGTGTTAATAACTTTTAGCAGGGTTGGAATACTGTCTCAATCTAAGTGTTTTTGAGATTGCTATGGGAAAAATTAAACATCTGGGGGGAAAAACCCAGGTGTCTCTTGCAGATTCTTTGCTTGTTTTCATCAGTACTTTTGATATGTAAATACAACTTTGAATGGCAAGCGAAAAGCTCTGTGTTTAACTTGGTTTTCTGTTTTCAGGAACTGAATTCATGGCCAGATTGCATGAGCATCTTAAATATTTTGTAAATATGAAGATGTCCACAGACAAATCCTGGCAAGGAGTAACAGTCTACTTATCAGGCCATGAGGTTATTGTATCTTGTTATTTTTTTATTTTAAATACATCTTTATTTTATAGAAAAGTACTTATTGATGAATTCTGGGGGTTTTTGTGCAGACTCCAGGAGAAGGTGAGCATAAAATTATGGAGTTCATCAGATCAGAAAAAGCAAAGCCTCATCATGATCCAAACACAAGACATTGTCTCTACGGCTTAGATGCTGACTTGGTATGTACAACTAAAATAATACAAACAATAGAAGTCTTCCTAAGTGTAGAGGTTTCTAAAATTATACTAAACAAGCACGTAATTTTATATTTGTGCAAACTTGTGAATTTTTAATGAAACAGAACAACAACATTTCTTTATACTATGTGATTCTAATAGTAAGAGCTAAAAAAATTTAAGACCTTTTTAATCTCTTTGTAATAGATTATGCTGGGATTAACAAGTCATGAGGCACACTTTGCACTCTTAAGAGAAGAAGTAAGATTTGGTGGTAAAAAATCTCAAAGGTAATTTGATTTACCTTTATTTTACTTCATTTTGTGTCTTTAAGTCCAAAAAACACAGAGTTATTAAAACAGTTCTTGGTTTTTAAAAATTATTTGCATATTAAATTGATTAAGTCTTTTTTTTAATTTTTGTGTTAGAAATATATTAAATTAGATAAATCAGATTGTTAAATTGTGCATTTTGATTCACTTGCATGAGGGAAATGCATAACATCAGGACAGCTGATAGAAAAATCCATAGAGCTGTAGTGTGTTGTGCTGCTTTCTTTGTATTATGGATGAAGCAGCCCAGGCTGTACAGACATTTTTTTTTCATAATTCTCTTATGTAGGCACTGACTTTTAAAATGTATTTTTATCTCTAAGGTTTTATGCCTGTAAGTAAATTTATGAGAATAATTACTTAAAAAAAGGCTCTTAAGTGGCTGATGGTGGGTGCTCTTACTCTGTATTGGCTCATTTCAACTAGCTTACAGGTTATACTGAGTAGAACAAGGTGATTTGTTCCGTAACTGTATATGTACATGGAGTTATTCTGAAGTTATAAAAAAAATGAATTTTATAGCTGTTAGTGTCGCTAGGTTCCTTCTTTAAAGGACCTTAGGCATACATTGAGTGGATAAAGAGAGAAGGTGGGAGAGACAAAATCTACTCTGTGTGTGTGAATACACAGGTATTTATGCTGGTTTCTCATCGGAGGTGGTTCCAGCTAGTTAAAGTAACAAGGTCAAATAGGCCTTTATAAATTTAAAGTACATCAGTCTTTAGGTAATTAATCTTTTGGTGTAAGTATTAACAGATTTTGGCCTAATGGTGGGTTAGGTATTAAGTAAGAAGAGAGGAAAGCAAAGCAGAATATATGTTGAGTATTTTATGCCATAAACAGACAGTAAGTTTGTCATGTTTTTTGAGTGCTGTGTTGAAGCCACTAGATAAAATACATATTGAACACATTTTCAAGTTGAGCATATCCTTATCTTACAAGAAGCATTTCAAATGGCTGCAAATGTAACCCAGTCAGTTTCAAGAGGAGTCTGTGCTCTCTATGTATTCAGACCTGTTCTAAAATAACATTTATTGGCTTTGGTGCAAAGTTAGGTTAGGTTGTCCTTCTTTTGAACAATGAGATAATTACTTAGGAAATAGTTAATGCAACATGGCACTCCACAAAGCTGCTCTGCTTTCTCTAAGTTAGCTGTTTTCCGTATGGGGCAATCACGTGCTGTTCAGAGGATCTACTGCAAAATTTTATGGACTCAAACTAGATGAATCCTAAAATAGATCCAAAGAAATGTTTGTATATTATTTCTCCTACAAAGATACAACATTACGATTACCTGGTTTTAAGTAACCTTGGAATTATTAAATATTCGTGTTGACAGTGTTTATAAATAATTAACTTAATGTTTTGAATAATTTACAGAGCATGTGCGCCAGAGGAAACCACATTTCATTTGCTACACTTATCACTGATGAGAGAATATATTGATTATGAATTTTCACCAGTGAAAGTAAGTTCTAATGGAGCTGTGATTGTTAAAAATGTGTGAGGTCTTTTTATGCAAACTTGATAATAAAATTTATACCCCTGTTTTTTTCTGTTTTCTTCCCTCCCTCCCTCTCCACCCCACACCCCAGGACAAGATTTCCTTTGAATATGATATTGAAAGGATAATAGATGATTGGATCTTAATGGGTTTCCTTGTAGGAAATGATTTTATTCCTCATCTACCTCATTTACACATTAATCACGATGCACTGCCGCTACTTTATAGAACATACATGGCTATCCTGCCAGAACTGGGAGGTAAGAACACCAAGTTAGGATGTGGAAAGCAGAAACATTAACATTCCTGCCTTAACATTTATTGGCTGTTTTAGCCTTTTTAGAATGTTTAGCATTTATAAGGCTTTCTTTATACAGCCAGTGAAGTTGTATTCTATTGTCTATGGAACATATAAATTTTAAAAATGTTAAATTGTTGAAGTAAAAAAACATACTTTGTATTCTCATTAGGTTACATAAATGAAAATGGACATCTGAATTTGAAACGCTTTGAGAAATATCTCACAAGATTGTCAGACGTAAGTCACTTCTAAATGGCACCTTAGAGAATTGTATTGTCTGTTGAATATAACCTCAGTACAATAGATTGCCGTAAAATAGATGAAAAAATAGAAAAAAAACTCTTTAGTTTTGATGAACTGTTAAATGACTTTTACAAGTGGTTTGATCAGCTGTTGGTGATACCTGAGCTGGGGTACGTTGTGCAGCTCTGGAGCCCCTAGTGCTGGAGAGACATGGAGCTGTTGCTGCATGTCCAGAAGAGGGCCATGCAATTTATCAGAGGAATGGAGCACCTCTCCTAAGGCTGAGAGAATGAGGGTTGTTCAGTCCGGAGACTCTGGAGAGACTTTGTTGCAACATTTCAGTACTTGAAGGGCACTTGTAAGAAAGACAGGGGCAAACATTTTAGCAGGGCCTGTAGTGACAGGACAATGTGTAACTGTTTTAAACTAAAAGAGGGTAGAGTTAGACTAGCTGTAAGGAAGAAATTATTTACAGTGAGGGTGGTGACACACTGGAAGAGGTTTCCCAGAGAGGTGATAGATTCTCCATCCCTGGAGACATTCAAGGTCTGGTTGGACATGGGTCTGAGCAACCTTATCTAGTTGAAGATGTCCCTGCTTATTGCAGGGGGCTTAAACTAGATAACCTTTAAAGATGCCCTACAGCCCAAACTATTCTATGATTTAGCTGATGGGATCAAATCAGTTGTTGATTTATCATATGAAAGTAAAAGGAGATGTAATAATTTCATCCATGCTTTAGCATCTTCTAGTACTGCAAGGTAAATGAGGATTCACCAGTAGAATCATGGTCCTCAATTCTCATTGAGTTATGAACAGCAGTACTGGGCAAAAAGGTGCTGCAGGCAGCAATGCTTTTTGTGTCCCCTTGCAGATCAGTTTCTTGTGGAGTAAGCTATGTCTGGAGACCTGGGAGAGCAATATTTTTGCGAGTTTTGAAAGAAGATTACTGGTAGAGAGCAATGAACTGTTAGTACCTTTGGGGCAGGCATCAATATTTTTCAGTAACTAAGTAGTGTGGAGGAGGCAATCCTGTTAAGTGCCACTGCAGTAATCCATCCTAGAGATGAGAAAAGTTACAGGCCATATGGTAATGAAAGGTCTCACCTTTCTGCTGAACTTGGAAGGAGGAAGTTCATTGGCCTCTCCCTGCTTCAGCCCTGTCTTCTGATCCTTGAGTAGAACTATGAAAGCATTGGGTGTGTAGCACAAGTCTCTATTACCCAGACTCTTTATACTTCTGCTCCTAGAGTTAATAGCGAGTTGTGGAAGTTTTCTTAACTGTTCATTACCCATTGCTGCCTTACTGAAAGAAAACAAAATATGGCTTGTGTATATGTTACAGATTGCTAAGGAAAAAAATTTCTATTAATCTATTAGTTTAGTAGTTGCTCTAGGCTAAAATGTTCATGTATGAATTACTCTAGTTGTAATCTAATTCACGTTCTAAAAGTTCATTGTTAATTAAGCACTCTAAATTTAGGATCCCTCAAATATTTCTAAACTTACTTTAATCTTTCTGCACAGTTTGATCGTGAACACTTCAGTGAAGTCTTTGTAGACCTAAAATGGTTTGAAAGTAAAGTAGGCAACAAATACCTCAACGAGGCAGCTGGCATTGCAGCAGAGGAAGCCAGAAAGAATAAACAAAAGAAACAAAAGGTTAGTGTTTTACAGGCATATTTGCAAATAAGAGTGTTGCTTTTTGCAAATGAGTAGTTTGATCTTAGACAAATTAAATTACATGAACATCTGTTTTGAGATTTTTCAAGATCAGAAAATATAGTAAAATGTAACTTTTGAGTACCTGTGTCCATTGCTGGTTGTGAGTGATGAGTTAAGTCAAGGTTAGGTTTTCATGTTTTTTGAAATCTTGTGAACTTGTAACTTTATGCTTTATGCCAATTTATCTGTTCCTCAACAGCAGCAAAATTTAGTTTTTGTTGTGCTATCATCAGACTTGCTTAGTAATTTTAATTTTCACTGCATAGCCTGCTGGAAGTTTTATGTGGTTCAGATAAACTGATAGATCATTCATGCATGTCTTGGTATTGGCTGACTGTTTGACATTGAATAGATAAATAGCAGTATCATTGGTGTGAGTGCTCTCAGATTGTTTATTAAACTTCCAATTCTAGATATGACTAATTAATAAGGAACAGCAACTTTCTCTGTATCTTGACTCTACTCCATTATCAGGTTTCCCACCACCACCTGCATTCTCTTTCTTTCAGTACGTCTTGAGCAGAGAATAGAGTAGCAACAGGAAATTCCTTCAAGTTTAATCTGTCACTGTTTATCGTTACCGCCTTTAATGCAGTCTGTGGTTTGTAAGAGGAAGATGCTAGCTCTTTAATGAGCTATGCTTTATTTGTGAATGTTTTCTTACTTGCCACAGAAGTTTGAAGCAGCTGTATAGCATTAGCTACAGATCTTGGCTGCTCCCTTGGCAGTGAGAATCAGGAGCTTGTGTACCTCAGGTACAGGGGAAGAGGGCCATTGTAATGATTCTGCTTATTGAAAGCTGCTCAGTGCTGCATACAAGACTGAATGAAGTGAATGCTTGTTTGACTCCCTAAAGCACAGGTTTTTTTGTATCCTTACTTTCCACAAAAGTGATGCGAACTCTTGAAAATTCACTGATGAAAACAAGACTGCGTACTGGTGCTGTAGCACAATGCATCATGTAGATAAACATGCTTAGAAGTGTGCTGTACAGTTTTGGAAATAGTATTTTGGAAAATAATTTTTTTAGGTAGTTGAGATTTTATTTGACACTGCTCCTTTGACTGATCTGTATGGATAAAATAGTTTTTCCTAGGCAATTACATGAGAAGGAAATGTCATGGGTTTTATACTTAATAACAATAATATTTATGCATCTTGATTATAGCAGTTTGAGTTGCAGATTATATGGTTGTGAAAGAGGTATGTGCATGGGATTCTGTATTTATACCTTATCTCGAATATTGATTTAATAGGCTCAGGAAAATTCTATATGTTTGGCTGCTTTAGAAGAAACTGAAGGTGAAGTGACCCCTAAAAGTAAGTGCAAATAATTTTATCCTCATAGATAAACCAAAAAGAACTTGGTAGTTTTTGTATAGATTTGGAAGGGTCTGTAAGATTTTCATGTCAGGGATTACCTTACTTAAGAGAGTCCAATGAAGGGCTCTGAGGATGATTAAGGGAGTGGAACACCTGCCTTAAGAGAAAAGGCTGAGAGACCTGGGGCTTTTCAGTCTAGAGAGCAGAACACTGAGGGGGGATCCAATTAGTAATTATAAATACACAAGGGCTGGGCATCAAGAGGGCAGGGACAACCTCTTTTCACTTGTGCCCTGTGATAGGCCAAGGGGCAATGTATTAAAAGTCAAGCACAGGAAGTTCCACCTCAACATGAGGAAGAAATGGAACTGCACGTCACTGCCTTATGGCAAGAGGGAGTGGGGCTAAAATTCTTGAAGTGCTTCTTATCTGACTAGTATTTCCATGATGAATTAAAAAATTAATAAGCAAATAATTAAGAACATTGTAGTTTGGTAGTTGTATGCTCAGGTATTTTGTTATATTAGTAGGAATGACTGTTGTAAGATGATGTTGCTGACCAAAACCATTACATTTTAAAATGTTTTCTTAAATTATTTTCTGATGGCTTATATTCTCTTCTCTGTTCCTGTAATTGTGCCACAAACATGCTGCATCTCTTTACGGGGAGGGGGGAGAATTTGTTTGTTTCGTGGTATGTTACTATAAATGCAGGGAACATATAAGCACCTACAACTGTGAATTGAGGAATGAAGTTAAATTAAGTCAAAACTGAATGTCTTCAAATCTCCTTGTAGTAGAGAAGTGAATGTTAATGTGTTATTTTTTCATGACTACTTTTTCAGCAGCGTTGGAAGATGAACCAGAAGATGATGATCTGTTTGAAACTGAGTTTAGGCAATACAAAAGAACTTACTACATGACTAAAATGGGTGTAGAAGTAGTTTCTGAGTAAGTGTATGCTGCTGCTTTTTTTTGTTGTTTTCTTTTTTAAACATCAAATAGAAGTCTTTGCATCTGTCTAATACAAGACAGGATATTCATCCATGTCCAAAGCAAAAATTGCATTTCTGTGTATTGCAGCAGTGATGGTTTTGGCTAATGCAGGAAAAGCTGCAAGTCGAGTTTTCTGTAGGAAGTTATTTGAGAACCGGAGGAAAAAAAAAATCCATTAGTATTAAATTAAGCTAAAAAACCTTGTTTCTAGTAGGTTTCCCAGGTATTCTGTCTTAATTTCTCTGTACAAGGTACTAAGTAACTTTTACATACCCGTGAAAATGAGAAAAGCTAATAAGTATCTTTCCTTTTTCTCCTAAGTGACTTCTTGGCTGATCAAGCTGAATGTTATGTCCAGGCAATACAATGGATTTTACATTATTATTACCATGGAGTTCAGTCATGGAGCTGGTAAGAAATACTGTAAAATGAGAAACTGCTTAAAGATTGAGTCATGTTTCACCCCTTATGCTGGGAACATTTAATGTAGTTCTGTTTTTCTGTTCTGTGAACACCACTGTGCTATAATTAAATCAAGTAACTTAAGATGTTTTTTTCCCTGCAGGTATTACCCTTACCATTATGCACCTTATCTGTCAGATATTCGCAACATCAGTGAACTCAAAATCAAATTTGAACTGGGAAAACCTTTCATGCCATTTGAACAGCTTCTTGCTGTCCTTCCAGCAGCTAGCAAAGATCTGCTGCCTAAATGCTATCAGGTGGGCTTTGGAATTACTTGTATTTATCTTTTATCTACTGGTTGTCTGATTTATTTTGAAGTAGCTCTTACTGATATTTTTGCGTGTCTTCTTAGTTCTATTCTACCTCTAAAATTTAGGTGCATGGTTAAATACTTCTTATTCTTCTTAGTACATTTTAAAGTTAGTAGAAAGCACAAAATTTTGGATTTGCTAAGCCATTTCAGACTAGGGCAATTAAATATTAGATGCTGAATTCCTGTTCAGCCTTGTATTGATTTTAATACCAGTCTTCCTCTATCTCTTCCTGGAATTAGTGCTAAATTGTCTCTTAATATTGCTTTAAATTCTCTCTTGTATTTTCCTAGCATTTGATGATTAGTCAAGACTCTCCTATTATAGAATATTATCCACCAGATTTCAAAACAGACCTAAATGGAAAACAGCAAGAATGGGAAGCTGTAGTACTAATCCCATTTATTGATGAGGTAAGTTCTTTCAAGGTCTGCTGTCTTAAAAAACTTGTAGAAGTACAATTAAATAGAAGTCTGAATCAACACTTGATAAGACCACAGAAAGATGTCAATGTCTTCTGCATGGGGAGTAAGCCTGGATTGAGTTACCACAAGCAAAGTTAGCTTCAAGTGGCAGAAGTCTTAAGTAAGGGATGTGGACTTCTTGTTGTTTGTTCAGGTTTTAATCAATTATTTAAATACTTAGTTTCAGATTCTTTGAGAATAAAATTCTGTTCCTACATACATACAAAAACACTGGATATCTGAGGTAATAAAAAAGAAAAACTTGTTTAGAAAGTCTTTCTACAGAAAATCTCTTCATATGAATACCAGTAATGGGTAGAAGACTCTTAGTACAAATCAAACAGTAAAACATTAACAGAATGGAATAAAATAATAACCTTATGCATGTAGGATAACAGTATTATATATGTTGTAGCAATACCTTTCATGAGATTAAATTTGAGTGCATCAAAGAATTGATTAAAATAAACGTGGAGATGAGATGTTAAGATATAGATAGGTGGTGGTGTGTGCCTATCAACTGTTTCCACAGTTCACAATGAGAGCTTGACATGATTTAGTCTTGCAAAAGACAACAATTGCTACTTGAATGTCATAAGGTTTTGAAGCTTTTTTCAGTAGTTATTTTGCAGAATTTTATGGTAACTTCTAAAATACACTTTTAATCTTTTTTGGTATGTTAAGTGTGAAAATCAAAATATGGATAGCCTAGGGAAGTATATTTGCAAAAAGGTGATCTTTATTCTCCAAAGCTATTCCATTGTAATTGCCCTGTTTTTCTCAGAGACCTGAAGCATGAGCAAGGGGTAGGCTGGAATTAGAAAATTAACACATTAATGAGAAAAGTGCAGATATCCATTTTCCCAATGTAGATGTTTCTATGCTAATTTTTGTTGCCAGTTTCACATACGCTAATTTCTCTAAAATATAGAAACGACTGCTGCAGGCCATGGAATCCTGTAATAAGTGCCTAAAAGAAGAGGAGAAACAAAGAAATACTCACAGTGCTTGCTTAATGTACTGGTATGACAAAGATGTGGAGTTCCAGTACATGTCACCATGGCCAGAGAAATTTCCTGCAATAGAAAGATGTCATACGAGGTAACTCTTGCATAACTATTGTAGAGTAGACTAGAAATAGTGAGAATTGTTTTAGTAGGATCTTAACCAAAGCTTGTATATGCCAATGTACAATATATACTAATACACTGAAAAATATTAAATATTGACTTAGAAGTTACTCATTGTGGATGGCAAAGTAAAAGTATTTGTAGCTTTTCTTAAACTGTTCCTTTGCAAAAGAGATCAACTAGTGGTAAATCAGCAAGAGTACTCTAGAGCATACTGATCTTTGTATGACACAAAGGGTGAAAGACTCATATAAATATCTGACCATAGCCATGATTTATCAGCACATTAATTCCAGACCATTTATTTTTAAAAAATGAGCATTTGGATCCACTGCAGAGTTGGAGGCAAGTGTGTTGTTTTCTTTTCTCTTGTTGCAAGTAACCAGCTTTATTTAACACAGGCTGAGGTTTCAAGATTATATGGAAACATAACCTTAATAGTAGTCAAACTTAAAAGAGAGGAAGAATGCCTGTTGCAGAATTACATTCAGTGATGAGTGAGTAGTTGTGAGAAGAATTATGTGAAATGAAGCCATTACTAGTTTAGAATTTGACAGTAACAGTGAATTAAAAGTCATATTGGGACATTCTGTGACTTGAAGTTTTGTCTTCCTTAGTGAGTAGTCTCTTGGTAGCAGTAGCGTGGGTTTCTGTAGTCCTTTGTATAGATTCCAAGTGGCTTAAATTAATTGTCACTTTACAGGCAAGTCAAATAATAAGTGTTTGAATGACTAATTGGTACTTTCTAGAGCCAAAGGTCATTCTAAATGATCAAATGTTGTACAACCTGTTTTTTAGGTATAAAACAATACCTTTGGATGCTTGGCATGTAGAAATAACCCACAATAAGATAACTAAAATCAACAAGAGGGCTTTATATTTTTGTGGATTTCCTACTTTAAAGCACATTAAACATAAGGTAAAAGATTTCTTTCTTCTGACATTTTCAACTGTACTTAATGGATAACTGTGTAAGAGTTAAACTTAAGTTTTATGTGCTTTTACCCAGTTCTATCTTAGAAAAAGTGGAGTTCAGGTGTTTCAGCAAAGCAGCCACGGAGAGAACATGATGTTAGAAATCATAGCTGATGAGAACTCAAAAGAGCAGGTAAGCATTCAGCTCCTAACAAAAAAAAAATAGAACAACAACAAAGGAAAACAAAACAAAACCAACAATAAACAAAGCAACAAAAGAAACAATCAAACAAAAAAAAACTTGTCATAAAAAGACTGAATTTGTTGGATTTTTTTTCAGATGGTAGAAGATGTTGCCAGTTTGGTACTTGGAAAGCGTATTTTTGTTAACTGGCCACATCTTGAGGAAGCCAGAGCTGTTGCTGTGTCAGATGGAGAAACTAAGTAAGAGACATTTCAAAGATAGCAGTTTAAAATAATCTTAATTGTTTTATTCAAATTAAGTGACTTAGGCTGTACAGAAGTTTTGGGTTTGTAAACTTGCTAATAGCAAATTAGTCCAGATGTATCCAAGGCTACTTGGTGGAAGGACCTTTATTTAATGTTGTTCTGAGGTTTGGTTATGTCTGTAGTCCCTGAATATTTTTTCTATAGATGTTGAAGTTTGGGAGAGCTCATTCTCAACTTTGAGGGAAAAATGCATGCACCGAATTTTGTACAGGTTAATGTCAAAAAGAATATTTCTGTATTTCTGCACATTCCCTGGTATTTTTTTATTAAAAGTATGCTGTGTGGCCTATAATGGAAGAGACAGAGAAAGCAATTTGCAAGTTTTCCATATATTTAACGAGTAATTTTGAACTATTTTAAGTTTTGCTCACTGTTGGTTAGGTCTAGATTAATCTTGTTAAAATTTGTACCTGTCATAATATTTTCAAGGTTTTATTTAGAAGAACCACGTGGCACACAGAAGCTTTACATGGGAAATGCAGTGCCCCCAACTAAAGTGGCATACGTTGGAGATAAGGAGCAAAGCCTATGGTTAAAAGAAGTTCAAGGCATTTCAGAGCAGTAAGGAACTTTGAAAAATTGAAGTGTAATTTGGCATTGTTTTGTCCTTAGCTATGTTTTGTTCCTGTGTTACAGACTTAAGTAGCAGAGAAGAGCTGCTGCATAGTTGATGATAAAGGTTAATGAGTCAGCTGGAATATTAAAAGACAACATAAAAGAGCTTATCTTGCAATGTAGTTAGTCTCTTGGGTATTTACTGTTATATGCTGCTACAGAATTCTCAAATGAATTTACTCTCCCACTCAATTTTCTTTCTGGTTTTAGTAATCTGCAGTTGTAGGAAGTATATAGAATAGACTCATACATATCAAGTTATAATTTCAGTAACTTGGCACTGTTAAACTTGAATACAATTCTTGGTCTTCTAGAATGTGGGTGCCAGCTGAGTTTCAGTAGCTTGCCATTTTATCATTTGAGTTAACTGCCTTAATTACCCCTAACTGCTACCACTGTGAAGGTAGAATGTATTCCAATTAGCACACTTAGCTATGTAGTGATGCCTGTGCAACAATGGATTAGCAAATGGTTAAGCTGTTTATTTGGGGTCTTTTTAATGAAAAAGGAAGAAAACTATTAGAAACCTTTTGTAAAGAGTACTTATTTATTTATTTTTAAGAAATTAATTCCGCCCTCTTGGTTTAGTTCTGTTTATTGTAATCAAACTAAATGTTCTGCTTTGTATTCAGTTACCAGAAAAGAAAAGGAATAATTATTCATGAAACATCAATAGTTGTATATGCTCAGTTACTCACTGGTAACAGATATCAGCTAAACCAAAATGGAGAAGTTTATTTGGAGAAGCAGTGGTCAAAACAAGTTCTTCCTTTTGTTTACCAAACTGTTGTCAAGGTAAATATACAAGTTCAGTATCTTCTTCCACATAGCTCCTTACTCCATTGGGGTGGGTGAAGTGCACAGAGGAAAGTGTGTATGCTCATTTTTTAAAAAAATAGTGAACAAAAATAAACCTCTTAAATGTATGTAGGTTACAAAAAAGTAGCCTGTTTAGGTATGTATTTTGTCACAGAATTTGAGACCCTGTTGAACAGTTTAAAGACTGTCTTGAAAAGCTATTTTTTGTTCTTTTTACTGATGGTATTTTGAATGAAGTACAGTAGTGGTGCCTCTGCAAGGTTAACATAGTTGCCTGTGTAACAAGCATTTGTAACCTAGGATTACTTCTTTGATGAATTATGTTGGACTCAGATAATGTTTCAGAATATGTCTATTTATACAAACTTTTTTATTATTCTACTGGAAATGAGTTATATTTAACATTATCAATTTTATCTTTTTCATGTAGGATATCAAAGCCTTTGACTCTCGTTTTTCAAACATCAAAACTCTGGATGACTTGTTTCCTCCTGGAAGTACAGTCTTTATGCTTGGATCTCCTTGCTACGGCTGCATGGGAGAAGTTAGTTCCAATAACTTCACACCCCCTCCCCAAGATTTCTCTTTGCAATTCTAAAATAAGATTTTGCATGGCAGTAATGGTCATTTTCTAGCTGAAATTTTAAACCAAAGATTCTCTGATTGTTTAGTCAAAGGAGGAACAGGTTATTCTGCTTTCCCTATCACTGTTGCTGACATAAGAGGAAAAAAGGTAGCATAGCTTAAAAGCAGTAATATTTTTTATTTATTATTTTGGATAATTTGCAGTATACAGTTACAGTTGTGGGCCATTTTCAGTCATGTGTTCCTTTCATTTAGTGCTCTTTACCTCTATGAGGAAGCAGTGTACAGGTTGAGGCAAGATGATGACTTGTGAAGCATCTCTGTGCCTAGTACAGCAAAACTGTTGATAAAGTAGCATACAAGGTTTAATAACCATAGACTGCTGTTTAAAAGTTTTATTTAAAATGTGTTGTATTTCTCTTCAAGGTTCAAGATTCACGTGATGTGATCACAGAAGGTAGAATTCGTGTAGTTTTCAATATTCCATGTGAACCCCAGCTTGATCCCTTAATACAGAACCAGCATGTAAGTGTATCTGGTTTTCTATTAAAAGCTTAATGGTAAATGTCTTGAAGGAATTCTTCCATATTGTTAAATTGTGCTTTGGAAATTGTCAATATTTTTTCTTTGTTTTAAAGAAATACTCTGTGAAATACAATCCTGCATATATTTTGGCCAGCCGTCTTGGAGTAAGTGGGTATCTTGTCTCCAGATTTACAGGAAGTATCTTTATTGGAAGAGGATCAAAGAAAAAGTAAGTTTTCTTTGTGAATTTTGCTGTGGAGAAACTTCTAAATTCCAATACAACTCTACAGAATTTCTTCTGTATTTAAGTGCAGTTCTTATCAAGTATATAGCTGTTTTGCGGTGTGAAGCTGTACATCCAGGAGGAAACTAAATGAATATGTAATGTTTTTCTATGCTATCAAACTAATTTTTTATTTTTGTGTAGTGGAGAATTGTTCTGTTTGCTTTAGTTTTGTAGAAAGACATAAATTGACTTCCCTGGTTAACTATTTGCTTAATTGAAGGAGGAGTTTGATCTGGCTTTACCACACTGAGAATAAAAAGTGGAATTAGGATCTAATTTCATAATATTACTGCCAGTATAAAATGATTGTAATTGTACCTGTTATTTTTTTAAGAACTACTTAAGACTATAACTGCTTAAAATACAAAAGGGAGACAATCCCTGTAGTTCTCTGAATGTCAGAATTGTGGTTTCCTAGGCCAGCTCAGTAAAGAAGCGGTTGATGCATGAGCATCATCTTGTGATTTTACACGTACATTTGTTCCCCACTGATTGTTCAGGGACATCCGTCTGCATTTTGGTAAATGCCATGTAGATTGTGGTTGATTAGATTTCAATTAAGGAAGAAGGGTAAAATATTCTCTATCCTCCTTTGTAGCAAGGTGTGGGCATGCGTGTGGACAGCTACTGTAGCACAGCTTATGTCCTATAACATTCACAGTTATCACAATAATAACAAAGAAACAATACAATGAATTTCATTTTTCTGTGGTTTCAGACTTGAGATGTAAGTTTGTGTTTTCTTAATGCATTTACACACACATATACATATTATTGCAAGTTAATAAACATTTTCTAATTTCCAGTCCTCATGGTGATCATAAAGCAAATGTGGGGCTAAATCTGAAGTTCAATAAGAAAAATGAAGAAGTTCCTGGCTATACGAAGAAAGTTGGAAACGAATGGATGTATTCTTCTGCAGTAGAACAACTACTTGCTGAGTATTTAGAAAGGTAAATACTGGATAGGAACTTAATCCAAATTATCAGCCTTAGTCTTTGGATTTTGTCCTCTAGACACAGTTCTTGTGAGAACTGATGAGTTTGCTTTTCGAGATTGCATAGTGGAATTTCTTTTATTCCAGTGTTCTCCTTCCAACAGTCTCTCTTCCCAGGGAGAAGCATATGTTTGGATACTTTTGTCAGCAGCTTACTCTTGACAAATGAACAGTATGACTCTAAATTGAGTCAGGAATAATCTATCTGGCCTCCAGAAATTTTGAAGCCTGTCAGTTTGTTTAGATGAGCCTTTTTTGTGTTCTGTGCTGATGTGAAACTAAATTTGTCTTCCATTCATTCATTTTAAGAGTCCCTGAACTATTTAATTATATAGCCAAGAACAGCCAGGAAGATATCTTCTATGAAGATGACATTTGGCCTGGAGAGGATGAGAATGGGTAAGCCATCTTTCTCCCCCCCTTTTTTTTTTCCTAGAATAAGTAGAATGAAGGCTGACAACATTGTGAAAATACTGGGGATCGTATAACGGCTGCAATGTAACTGAAATCTTACTGTTCCTTGCACAGCATGATTCTTCAGTCATGACTCTGAAAAAATTACCAGAATTATGTACATTCCATTTGCGGAGTCCAAGTCTCTGTCAGACTCCTATCTCAAGTCCAGCAAATGAGAAATCTGTTTTTCAGTGGCTGCTTCGTAATTCTTGTTTTCAGAGTTATTTCCAGTAAGCACGGTATGAAGAGTCACAAAGTCACTAACATTATTTTTTTAAGTAAGCAATAATAATTTTATTTGTTTAAGATCTCTTTGAATTTGAAAAATAGCACGTACAGAATTTAAAGTACATTGCACATTTTTTTAATATACATTGTCAGTTTCATGGGAGGCAAGAAGCAGCCTTGGTTCCAGATACAGTATAGTAACATTAAAAAAACATATTATTAGTTCTTAAGTCCTACTCACAGGCTCAAGTTGCTACGTCTGCATAATGCTGCACCTGCAGGACTCTTACCAGGCAGATACACCATTGTGAGACTTGTCTATTATAAGAATCTCAGGTTTGTGCTCCATTTCAGCAGAGGCATGCCCTGAAGTTCTTTCTTACTGTATTGTGAGAAACAGCTGGTCACAGAACCTTTAATCACAGCTGGACATGGTTAGTTGATGGGATGCAAATATTAGAAAAAACTTAAGGTTGTAGTTCTAAAACAGTGTTACACAATTCAGTTAGGTTTATTTTTTTAACCTCTGTTGTGAACTCGTACAGAACTCTTAAATTTTTTTCCTTCTGAATATATACAAGCATAGTGCCTGGATCATCATAATGGACTGACTATATCAGGCAACATTGTAAAATTTTTAGTTCATGCAGTTAATTTTAATTAATGTTGTTTTTTATTTAGAGCTGAGAAAGTTCAAGAAATTGTTGCTTGGTTAAAGGCACATCCTGTGTCTGCTTTGTCTCGCTCATCTTGTGACTTGCAAATTCTGGATGCAGCCATTGTTGAGAAAATTGAAGAAGAAATAGAAAAATGCAAGGTATGGAGCTTGACATCATTGTGAGCAGGGGTCAAGCAAAAAGCTGCTCCTCATTGTTTTCCAAGTTCTTGAGTTAGAATAAGATAATTGAAGGTTACTTGTCATTCCCAAGAAAAAGAATACAGAATGTAATGTGAGATCTGGATATGGAATGTGAATTGTCCCAGAAATTTGGAAGAGCTCATTATTAATGTTATTTATTGACTCAGTCTTTTCTGAGGTGTTTCAGCAGCGTATCAGGCCATACTGTCAATTCTGCCTTTCAGTGATTTCAAAAAGGAACAGGTGACAGTATATATCCTGACCTGTTGAAGTGCTGTTTCTATGTGCAATCCCAGCTGTTCTTCGCTTGCAGTTTCTCTTTGGTCTGAGCTTCATTAAGAAGTCAGTCATGTTTTAAAAACTGGATTAAGTCATCCTGAAACTTCATGAAAGCTGTATATCTTTATCTAAAAGAAATAAAAAAAATTCTACATTATCTTTTCAGGTGTTTTGTTGTGCTTGAAATCCAGAATTGGTTCCTGCAATTGTCTGTAATGCCTTTCTGTTCCTTTCTCCTTTAGCAGAGAAAGAGCAACAGGAAGGTGCGAGTAACTGTGAAACCCCATTTGCTGTACAGAGTAAGTGATGTGAAAAGTGTGGGTTTTTTAAAGCTATCCAGACCATATTTATTTTATTTAAGCTTACCACCTTTCAGAGAGTAGAATTTTATGAGAGTATAGATGGAAGAGAAAGTTGTAAGATGCTTTCTAGAAAACCAGTTTGAGAACAGCAGTCTGTCTCTGTGCTTAGTGGAAATTCTCTCCTTTTAAACTCTTGTCATGTATTATACTGAGTTTCAGTTCTATTCTGCCTTCAGTCTTTAACGCTTTTCTAGTTCTTACTGGCTGCCTAATGAAGGCAAAATGAAGTGTACTGCACACTTGTCTCCTCTTCCCTGTTCTGCTTTTTGTTCAGTTCTTGATATATGGCCAACTGCTCATCTTGCCTGGTATTTCACTGATACTGATGTTACTGATACAGAAAGGTGACACTTGGTTTTAATTGTCTAAATTGATCCCCTTGGTCTGCCTTGGATCGTGTACAGCACTGCTGTTTCTCAGGCAAAAACAGTGAGTGAGAGTTGCTAGGAAAAAAGGTTTTGTCTGGAGAGAGAAGATTCTGTGTTCTTAATTATTTCAGAATGTTTGCTTTATAGTGTGTTTCAGATGTTGTTATAAATGCATTTTGATTGTAATCCCTATTTTTGAGTGAACATTAACACAGTCTTTTGGTTATTGTCAGCCATTAGAACAACAGAATGGGGTTGTTCCAGACCCAGATGCAGAGTATAGGCTGTTTGACCGTGTTGTCAATGTGAGAGAGAACTTCTCCGTTCCAGTTGGTCACCGAGGTACCATTATAGGAATTAAAGGAGGTAATATTTTCTTCATAGTTACAGCATTAAAGCTATATAACAGCTCAGCTATGGATGTGAAAGCAGGCTTCAGAAAAGGATTTTACATAATGGTTGTGAATGTACAGACATTTTTCACTGATAGTGTTTTCAGCTCAAAGCCACTGATGACATATTTACTGTTTTGAATTAAACCTACAGGTATTCTATCTGAATTTTATGTGTTTACATAGCTGTATTTTGGAAAAGAAGTTCCTTATCCTTTGTTCCTTCTTAATGCGGATAAGGCAGAGAGATCAGAGAGAACAGAGGCTTCAAAAAAGGAAAAAAATGAAGTGTTATGGGAAAATACTTGCAAAGTTTAAACACATAGAGATAAACAAGTATTAGCCTTTATACTTACATAGAACATAAAATCTTATAAAATATTTCAAATTGTTTTATTTGGAATTTGTGTTTTGCTCTGCGATAGTCCATTTCTGCTAGATGGCATGGGTTTATAACTTCTTTGACCCAAAGGTTAGACATAAATCTATTACAGATACACAGAAGGATTTACTGAATAACACTGAGTGAAGCAGTTTGAGATCTAGCAATAGAAATTGTTTTCTTACCTAGTATTTAAGTAGGTGCTTTCTCATTGAGTTTGTATCCAACAGAATCTTTATTAGTCTAGACCTGAGTGCAGCTTTTTAATAAGGCACTCTTTTCTTCATAATAATTATATACTAGTATAATTTAAAGGAGTATTAGTCTATATTTATGCAAGAAGGAACTGTGAAAAATGTCTGTTTCCAACAGACTGAATGTGAAGGTGGCTTGTATCTCTTTTCTGGGAGTTTGACAACGGTGACACACTGCTATAAATTGCAGTTCTGTTAATGCATGTTGATAAGTTGTTTTTCATGGTACATTTCTGTTGAAAGTGTATCTGAAAGGACAGCTATATCTGACTTTGAAAAGCATCCCTGAATTGCTGTTAATGAAATTACTCATTTAAAGAATAAGCATCTTTTGGTTGCTGATTAGTTTTTGGTGGTTTATTTATTGCATAACTAATATAGGTATTTACATATCTATATGTTGCATATATAGGATGACATTATACTTTGTTCTCTATAGCCAGTAGAGAAACAGATGTGCTCTTTGAAGTATTGTTTGATGAAGAATTCCTTGGAGGCCTAACTATAAGGTTTGTGCAGGGGGTTTAATGGCAATTTCATGCTATTTGTATAGATGGCATGAAATTATCTTTGGTTTGGTTGAGTATTTTTAATGCTCATTTTGAGAAACTTTGTCAGCAGTATTGGTCAGATTTTATTTCTTTTGTGTTTCTTTTTTCTCTTTCAGTAGGCATGATTTTTATGAAGGATATTATATTTTGGAAATTTTCTTTAGGCTTTTTTGTGTATTTAGAAGCTTCGGATTTGTAGAAAGCTAATATGTACGAGCAGAATAAAGTACTAGATTCAAATATCTTCCTAAAACAAATATGTAGAAAACAGATTATCAGCATGTCTTTAACATATAGATTAAAAAATAGTAAAAATCTGCTCCTCTAAAGAAGGAATTCTGAACTATCAATAATTAATACTTAGGCACAAAATTCTAACCACCATAAAAAACCTAAATTGTTCTCAAGATGAAACATGTTTAAAGCTATTGTTTTAAAGAAGTGTGATAATTTCTGTATTTAAGCAAGAAGATAAACTTCTAGGTGTGCTGATTTACCCACCAGGCTTCATTTTACTGTTGTTCTTAGTTAAATAAAGTTTTGTATGGCAGAACTTAGAGGAGAATCTTAACCATTCCCTGCATTCACCATGCATAACACAATCCTGTCCATTGCAGGACTGTGTCCTGTAACACAGGTAATCTTCAGTATTCGGAATCATAGAGGAAGATAAAAACTAAGTGCTGCTTAGCTTCAGTTTATAATTCTGCTGATGACTTTAGTTTTCATCTCAGAAAAAGAAAATAATGATGTTTCCTGGATCATAGTTTTTTACGGAAATGTTTCGTACAGAACTATGCTATAGCCATTCAAAAATCTTCAAAATGTATTTGAGTTCATCACTAAAAGGTACAACATAAACTCAGAGTAGTAGTAATTACTGTTGTTTTCTGATTTTAACAGCCAGAGTGGAGCACAATGGGATTAACATCATGTTAGTAGATTTCAGTGTGAGGTAGTTTTCAGCCTCTGCTGTTCAAGCTTGAGTCATTACCTTTTGGCATAGGGGCAACAGCATTGTTAAATGAGATACGTGAAATGTCACCAATTGAAATACATGAATCAACTGTGTAATTGGCTTTTCTTAAGGTGCTCACCTGCCAGAGGCTATCGTCTGCCATCAAGTGCCTTAATTAACCTGTCTCATGGCAGTCGGTTAGAAATGGGGAATCAAAAACTGACGGCGGTTGTTAAACCTCAGCCAGCTATGAATAACTGCAGTCCATACCTGCCTGATACATCATCTGCCTGCTCACAAAAAGTGCATTTGGGAGGCCTCAACCATTCTCCTCGCTCCCTTTTTGTTCCTACCCAAGTAAGACTTTTCTTTCATTTGTACAAAATGTTTTTTCCTCTGGAAGCTCAATTGTGATCATGGTTGTTGTCTTCACTGGTGCAAACAAAATGTAATTTTTATGTCTGTAGATTAAAAGTAGGGTAGTCATTATCTTGGAGAAATTAGTTAATCTAATAATGAAAAGGACCTGAAGTTCCTTATTGACAGTTGTTTTACTTTTAATACCTCCAGTTACATTCCCAAGAGACACACATTTTGTTCTGAGCAATGACATCACATTTGGTGTCAAATTGTTTGGGCAGAGATGCAATTATTTCCTTAAAAGCTCTGTTCCAAGTTATGCTTCCTCTGGCCCAAGTTTGTCCATGCTTGGAAAGAAAGCATAATTCTTTGTCAGTTTTGCTTCTTGGTTATAATTTACATAGTTTGAAAATACAGTAAAGGAAGAAAAAATACCAGTGAGTTGGGGATCTCATTGGTTTAATGAAATTTTATTTTTTAATAAATGACTTATTTACAAAAAATTATTTTCATGGGTAGCTTGTTATAGGTGTGTTGGAGAAGAATTTTCTCATTATTTCTAATTCTGTATAGTAAAAAATAGTTTCCAAAGGAAAATTAAAGGCAATGAAACTCTTCTGTTTTGTGGTTGTTTTTTGTGGTTTTTTTTTCTCTCAATGACCTAGCAACTGAATGGGAGACAACATTACAATCTCAGGGCTGAAAATCAGAGCAACTCTAACTCACCCCAGAGAGGATCATTTTTGAGTGGCAATCAAAAAAATAAAGTGAGTGTTCAGATTAATTTAGTATTGGACTAAAATGTCTCACTATTTATTTGTCCCCCTATTTAGAGTCGGTGCCCTTTTCTCATAATTCACAGCTTTTAGTACATCAGATGCTTTAGTCTGGATATAGACTGTAATAGAACTTGTCCCTTTTCTGGAATTAGTATAACATTCTGTGTTATCCTTGTTTCATTCTAGATGTTTCAAAGTGTTTTTGTTACATAGTTGGGCTTCAGTTCTGTGATGACATACTTGTAATGTTGTCATTCAAGCTTCATAAAGCCTTATTTTGTAAGGCATTAATAATAAAATTCAAGAATACTAACAGTATGAGAGCTTGCTTTTGAAACCATTTTGGGTTACTGTGTGAGTTTTATTAAACTATCTGATAGCTCCTCCATTTATAAATTTAGTTAATAACAAACCAAAACCGATCTCAAAACCAACTAAGCTTGTTTCAGTTTAATAGTGATTCTTAGGAAAAGTTATGTAAATACAACCCACCACAGTAGCCTATATCATAAATCAAATACCTGCAAGGTCTACTACTGTCAGTATGAAAATTTCTGTCCTCTAAGCACTGTTGAACTTGGACTTCAGGATTTTCAAAATGTCTTTGTATATGATTAGATGTTCAAAAGTTGACTTTATTGCTGCTGAGCTTGTTGAGGGTGTTGTTTCTTATTTTGTCAGGCACAGAGTAATCAAGATGATGAATTCTGCAGCATATGGCAATCACTGCAGAGTTCTGGAAAGTCTCACCATCTTCAGCAAAATATGCATGAGAAGGTTAGTATATAAACTTTAAACAGAATCCTCATTCAGAATATGAAGGTACTTAATTTTATATGTTAGTTCATTACATCATAAAACTTTCTAGTTAATGTTACAAAATAAATCTTTTGGATGAAAGTATTGTTACACAGGGTATGCATAGCTCTGGAAAGAGGTAATCGTGTTGGACTACTATGTAAATGATAGATAACACAGCTGTCTGGTTGAATTTTGATGTTTGAAATCCTAGAGTGCAGTTCTACCTCAGGAAATCAAGCTGGGAACTGGCAATCAATTCTATAAGCCAGGATTCAGTGACAGCAGCTTTAAAGGTCAGCAAAGAAAACAGGAGCCATATAAAAAATGTAAGTACTATGATTAGAAACTTTGTTTAGGAGAACTACTTGCTTTATCTGATCTTCGTGGAAATGCCTGGTGACTTTTTTGTAATTATTGACAGAAAATAGTTTATTGTAGTTATATAAACACTATGTTGCACTTGTTATTGTCAAATAATGTCCAGGGTGTACATACTAGTTTATTCAACATTTAATTCTGAACCTTTTAGTCAAGCTGTTATGCATTATGTTGACATTCCACCCATCTAATATAAAAACAAAAAACCCCACAACTTGATTTTGAAAATTTGCTTGTGATCATATTTGTACAATATGAAATTAGAAAAATTATTGGATGTACTTTATCCTACAAGAAATTATTGACCAAATGACCTGTAAAGTATGAGTTAAATACTTAATGCAACTATTCAAATTAATGCAACTCTGTGTACTTAGGGAGCTACTAATTTTTTTGATTCATGATTATTATGGTTTTCAAGAGCATTTCAGAAGAATTCGTTCTTTTGTAGTTAAAGAAGATTCCAAAGTTACAAGAGCTGAAAATCAGCCACACAATAAAATACCAAACAAACAGGTAACTTGTTTTGTTCTGACTAAGTGTATTCTTTTCTGTTCATTTTACACTGATCTGATTCAACATTTTACAGGTATCTCTTTAACCAGTATCTTAGTTGATTCTTTTACAAGGTAAATAATATTTTTGAGATTTATTTTATTTTCTCTAGAGATTTTATATACAGAAAATGAGAGAAAGGGCATAAGATGTATAATGATGATAGCAAATGATTTTCCTATTCTTCTCACACTCTAAAAGCTGTACTGTAATCGGAAAACAGAAATGCTAGGTTTTCAGTAAGCTGCCATCCTCTAAGAATATTAGCTGGTGAAAACTATTTGCAGATCCATTTCTAATGATTGTGTTAGAATGGGTAGTGGGGAAATAGTACTCAGTAATAAATGCTGCAGTGTATTTCAGAATTTTGCAGGTGTGAATAAGTACAATGTCAAACTTCTGAAGAGGAATGAAAGTCCCAATATTCCTGTAATTCAGAAGGCTGCTGTTGATGGTCCTTGTGCAAGTGCAAAGGTAGGATCTAGATGGCTGATTTTCTTGTGTACTTTCAGTTTCTAGTTCATGTTGTTCCAGTTATTACTGGTCACTTGTGCTGAAATTCAAGTTGATAACAGATAGAAGACAAACCAGTATAACCTTGTTTGCTCATTAAATCAATTCCCTGTTGTCAATACTTGCATCTTACTAGTGTGCAAAACTTGATGTAGTCTCTGGGTATCTGTTCACACTGAGTAGATACGATTGTAATCTGCTCAAGCTAAGAAAAAACATGTGGAATGAGCATAAAATTAATCTCAAACTGATAATACCCATCCTTCTACATCTGCATGTAATATACTAGGTTGATGTACTTTTTTTTTTTTTCATTTATTTAAGAAGGATTATGAACTCGAAAGCCTTCTAGCTTCTTTGAAAATTTCCAAAGAAAATGAAGTGCAGACTTATTCCAAGGAAGCAAGAGCTACAAATGAAGAACATCTGTCACCACAATCATTTGCTATGGTCTGTATACTGCAGGAATCATTACACTGCAATTTAGCATCTGCTATCTTAGCATCAGTGCTTCTATTTAAAGAAACTCCATGAAACCTCATACTGCCTTTTTAAACATATGGATTACTTTAATTAGCTGTTCTCCAAGAAAATTAACAAACACATTTGTTAATGCTAAGATGCAGTTATCTCTGCTTTGATAAAATGTAACTGATAAGAAAGCAAAAATTAATCAGATTTTGTTACTGATTGTGATACTCAGAGTTAAGTAAGAAGGTAAAATTACCTGAATACCATCATACCCCTGAATGTTTTATTTTCTTCTTAAAGAAAGGAACACAGATGCTGAAAGAGATTTTGAAGATAGATGGCTCTGACCAGGAAACAAGGAATGAAGTCAAATCCCAAGTTCATGATGTTCCTGCTACCCCTAGTAGACAGGATTGCCATGGAGCTGCCTTGCCATATAGACAAGGAAAAAAAATGGGTATGTTTAGAGATCCGCTCATAGTTTAGAACTTCACTTTGTAGTGACATTTTAGAACATAGCTAAGAGTAAATACTGATTTTTAAAATACAGTAATATGCTTTTTTTCCTGCTAGTAGCAAAGTTGCTATCGTTTTAGTGCAGGAGATGTTTGTGATACAGCTTTTTGTTGTTGTTTTTTTTTCCTTTTGTTAGCTGCTCACATGAACAAGCTTCATGGCACTGCAGGCCCTCAGAACACACCAGCACTGGAAACTGGAGGTCATCCTTTTTTTTGTCCACAGCCTGCACTGTCTACTGTTTCTGAACTTTCTCGTATTTGTTCTCTTCTTGGAATGTCGCAACCAGATTTCTCTCTAATAAAAACGCCACAGGTAAAAAACTTTTATGGAAAAGTTTAAGTTCTTTTTTCAACTGTCCTATATGAAATAGTTGAATTGAGCACTGAAATCCATCTAAAAATAAACCTTAGCTTCTTTTTTTGCCTTTATTCAAAACATACAAACAAATCCACTGTTTCTTTCTCAGTTTGTTTGCCAGCAATACAGATACCCTCAAAAATCTTCTCATTTTTCTAGACCTTGACAGTTTGTCACATAAAATTATCAAATGGTTTATTGGTTCATGGACCACAGTGTCATTCTGAAGCTGAAGCAAAGGAGAAAGCTGCGCTCTTCGCCTTACAGCGTTTGGTGAGGATGCAAAGAATCTTTTAAAACCTTAGTTTCTATTGCATTGTGTCTGTTTGTAATCCTCCATTTCCTTCTTCCTAGAGTTCTATAGGAGTGAACTTCCCTTTGCCTCCACCTCCACCAGTCTTTCCAAATTTTCAACCACTGGGTGTTCCTGTACCGTCTGGATCAATTCCTCCAGTATTTGCACAACCCCCTGGTAAGTACTTCACTAGTACCCATTTCAAATACTGTAATCATAGGATCATATAATAGAATTGTTAAGATTAGAAGGGACCTTAAAGATCATCTAGTTCCAACCCTCCTACTAGGAGCAAGGGAGCCCTACCACTAGACCAGGTTGCACAAAACCTCATCCAACCTGGCCTTATAAACCTCCAGGGATGGGGCATCAGCAACCTCCCTGGGCAATCTGTTCCAGTTAGGAATATATCTACCATGATACACTGTACTTGTAATAGTTTATATGAAAATGAAAGCCTTCAAGAAAGCCCCATTTCTGTTCTTCATATATGTAGTTGTATGTCTGAACTGATTTGAAAATAGTTCATTAACCTCTTCTTATTAATATGCACATTCATTCAATGTGAAGCATCATTCATGCCTCTCCAAATTATTTTCTTCTAGAATGTATTGGTCAATTCAGACGTAGCTGTGTTTTTTGGTTTTTCCCTCCCCTCAAAACAATAGTAATTAGTTCAAAGCTGATAGTCTCAGTCTTTGCCCCTGTATAGTTAATGATTATCCATGCATTAGTGTTATTTGTTTATAACCAGTTTTCACTGAAGTGCTGTATCAGCCTGTTGTACACTGCCAAACATGAGCATGGCAGGTAACCCCCTAAAATTGCTAAAACTTATGGTGCCATTTCTGGTTCCTGTCTATTTTGTGTTCTACTCAAGTTCACATTCACAGCTAGTAATTAATGAGTCACCACAGCTGCAGCATCTTAGTAACCCCTACAACTACTGCTGCATCTCTTTTCCTCAGGGTTTCTATACCGTTGACTTGCTTCTAAAGGTTTCCCTGAATTTGCAACCTTGTACTAATACAGTTGTCTTAGCTGAGGATGCAAAGATCCTAAGTTATTTGTGCTCTGAAATGCATATGCCATGACTTAGTTTCCCTAACTGTGATGTCATCTAGGTGTAGTTAAGTAAAAGCAGAATGGTTTGGGATTTTTTTGGATAATAAATAAATACCTATTTTCAAGAAAATACTAGGCTTCACTGGAAAAAGAAACAGCATATATAAATAGTTGAGGTACTCTTGTGGTCTTTAGGAGTGATATCCTTTTTTGAGGAAAGAGAGCTTCAAGTTACTTATTTTCACAGCTAATATAATGCCTCCATCATCTCACATGGTTGGTCCAGTGTCCTGGGGAACTCCAGTGCCTAAACATTACTATCCTGGCTCCTATCCAGGAAACGTGTCTCTTGCAGGAACTATACCAGTTGGTTCTCATAACCAGTTTATACCTCTGCAGGTAAGAATGGCAGGTTTGTCTTAATATCTGATTTTGCAAAAAGATGTGCCTATGTGATGATTGCAAAAGCACTGCCACTATGATGCACTATTTAGTATTAGAAAATCATTGTAAAAAACTGTATGCATGTTTTCTGAAAGTGGAATATTTGCAGTTTTTTCAGTGCATTCTGATAAATAATATTTATTTAATTTAAAGGTAACTAAAAAAAGGGCTGCTAGCAAGAAAAACTTTGAGCTCAAGGAGTTTCAGAGTTCCCCTCAAGCTGCACCACTAAAGAATGAACAGCCAGTGTCTTCTGAACACATTCAGCAAGATAGTTCTTCAGCTCCTTTAAAATCTTCTCAAGCTGCTCAATCCACTGTTTCATTTCAAGACAATGTGGCTACTCCAAGTGTTCCTCATAATAAATCAACACCAAACACTTCCAGCAAGCGAAAGCCAAGAAAGCTGGCTGTCAATTTTGGCGCACCAAAATCTTCAGAATAAATATGGTAGCTAGGTGTATTTTAACTTGAACTCTTCCCCCACTGTTATGTTCTATCATTTAAAAAAATCAGAAAGCTCTATTAAAAACACCAGCCACTTTAGTATAGAATGAACTACATTCTATTTGCTATAATTTTCATGGTTGTTACAAAAACTATAAAAATTAAGTTTAAAATTTATTTTGAAGTAAATTTGCAAAAGCCAGGAAATGCTGAGTTAAGGTTACCATGCTATCCATCTTGCCTAGGTTTTCTAAACAGTGGCTTACAGACTGGACTGGGTAAGCAGCAATAACAGTGGCAACCTTGATTCAGAATTGCTGAGCTTTTTGGGAGGGATGTGGAACGGTAATAAGTTGGGCATCTAACTTTGCTTAATATGATGTTTTGTATTGTAGCTTCATTTTAAATAGTGGAATAAGGCAGAAAGGAAGAATTATTTAAGTACAGCTTTTGTATTGTCTCTCCAGGTCCTTCTGAGTTGAATCAGTGTGCTGAAACGTTACAGTGGAACTGCCAAATTGGCTTTAGTGTAGATGTAGCAGTTCATAAAGGGCAGCAACTTTCCAACAGTCAAAATGTAGGTATTATTGTATATCTAGTATCAGAGTAGCAAAAACTGGTTGCTGATGCAGAATTTGTTTTAGGAGATTAATTTATAGGATGTATTGAATTAAAAAATATATTTGCAAAGTAGGGGCCTCTTTGGTAAAGTTGTTTATTTTTTCAATCTAGCAGCACTATCAATGTTATTGTTTTATAATTATAAACTAACATAGCTATCTAGTAAAGATCTGCAGAGCCTCCAAAAATGCTAATGATATCCTGATTTTTCCAAATTATAAAAATGGCCAGAGTTCAAAGATGCACATTTGGGTAGTATGGCTGTCAAAGTCATGTTTACTTAGAGTCCATTTCTCCCTCTAGTAATTTGCTCCCTGAAACCTTTTCTTTGGTAGGTTTGTTGGGGGTTTTTTTGCTAGTTACTTTTAGTATTTATATTTTAGTTTTGCGATAGAAGTTCTGTGTGGCAAAATTATATTATCAGAAACTTGTTACAGGTGGTTCCATCAGAATATTCAGACAAAAAGCTGACTTGTATTTTTGGAGTTCTGTTGTAAAAGAAGTAACTCCATCATTCTTAGTTCATATAGGAAAAAAGAAGCCTTAAAGGTCCCTGTACTACTGTTAACCATTTTTTAACTCTTTAACATGTGTACTGTTCTTACTGACATTTATATGAAATCTTCAATCTGAGAGAAAATTTGAAGCCTCAGTGCTATTACCAACGTTAATTAAATTTCATTTTTCTTCTTCCTTCTAATCCATTCCAGAAAAATGAGGCCCAGGAAGCTTTAGAAATAAAGCATACTTTAGTGATTCATTGTGTTGCCTCTGAGCAGGTTTCATGTTGGATCTGCAGACTTCCTTTCCGTTCCCCTACTTAGTTCTTTGCCTCTGTTTCTTGGTGTAGTACCAAGTTTCACCTTGTTACTATGTTAGAGGATTTTTTCTGTTGATTTCTCTGAAACAGTACTTGTCTCAGCAGGATTTGTAGAATAGCAACAAACCCTATGAAAAGGATCACAGATGTAAAAACAAGCTTAAGAAATTTTATTTCATTTTGTTTAGTATCACAAACCTTGTAGAATTGTACTTAGTCTTAAAATGCATTGATTTTATTGTTCTCTTTATAGCCATCCAGTCTCAAGAGGGTTTAAAGCCATATTCCATGGAGGCAATGCTGTATGTTTTAGTGACTTCTTGTCATTAGCAACATGAGACTGACACAGTGATGACATACCAGTATTTTAGAAGTGTTTATGTGAGATGTAGTTATGAGACACAGATGTTAGTCCCCCATATCATATATGTATTATCTGATCATTAAAGAAGAGATTTGTTTAGAAATGCCAGTGACGGAGATGAGACTACATTGGATTCTTGCATCACAGAATTTGGACATATCTGGATAGCCAATTTATGATTATTTTTTTTTATCAACCAATGTAGGAGAGAGACTATACTCTTAATACCAGTAAACACAGCAATTTTTATCATTAATTACTTCAGACTAAGACTTCTCCCTGTTAAGGTAGAATTGCTATATTTAGTATATATAGCTGTTTCAACACTATAGCTGCTGCATATTGTATTAGTCCCTGGTTTTTAGTTTATATTCTATGATACGGACGCCTGGTGCCCAGTTAATTACAGTTTTACATGTCCTGGTAGATGCCACATTTGCAGTGATCTATGCCATGTCCCCTATGATTTAAGTTTTATATTTTAATAAGATGATTTTGTCATTCAAACAGATATAAATTTAACCATTTGTTTTTCCTCATAGATAAAAAGTATTTTGTAAGCACTGGAGTTTTTCATTAGATCTTATACAGAGCAGTATTTTACTAAAAAACCAAAAGGGAAGACTTTTATGTGTGCATTTTTGTAGTTTCTGATTTTTTTAAAATAACTTTTAATTGTTTATCTGCCAAGTGAAATGTTTTCAATTTACATATGAATGGATGCAGAATGTATTTTTTGTGCTGTTTAGTGTTAAGTGTGCATTTGCAGATTTTTAGCATGTAGTTGCACAAAGGACTGTGCAAAGATATTTTACAATATGAATATACGATACACTGAAGGAAAAACATTCATAAAAGTTAAATGCTATATAAAACTTTAATGCAATAGAATAATTTTATAAATTGTGTCTGTGTCTGCTTGGATTAAATATTGAAACAAGAAACTGTACTTACTTTCACTGTTTTATTTCCAAGTGCTATGTGGGAATTTCTTTGTGCTCCAAACCAAAATTTTAAGATATAATTTAAATCTTGAGAAGCCCAATTTCTGTAATTCTCAAAGGCAGCAACTGCCCCACCTCCATGCTGTTTCTTGATGTCTTTCAACTACTACTCAGTTAAAGATAAAATTTTGTTACAAAGGCTGTTGGTCACTTTTCAATTAAAATACTGATCTTCCAAAAGCTTTATAAGGCAGTAAGATTACTTTCCAGCAAGTTCAGCCCTAGTGGTTCTTAACGAGGTGCAAAACCACCTGATTGGATGAAAAATAGGCAGAGCCTATGGATACCTGGAAGTATTTGACACCCTTTTTCTGTGCCTGGAATATTGTGCTGAGATTTTTGCAACAGTAGAGTAAGAATAGTTACCTCATTGGTAACAAGGCTTCTGAGTGAAGCACAGTGACTAAATGCACTAAAAACAGTGTAATGAGTTTGAATTTCTTTGAGACAAACAGCAAATTACATTTCATAATTGGATTTCCTCATCTCCGACAATAGTAGTTTTTTTATTTCAAAATTGAAAAATTAATGTTTCTAGATTTTTACACTTATTTTAAGAGGAAAAATAAATGTCACCTTCCTATTGTGTGCATATATGATGTGCTGAGGTTTGTCCTATTATCTCTAAGATCATGTTCAAACGCTACTTGTTCCCTTTTAAAGCATAATGGACACTTGAGTCATTCTAGTTAATTCTTAGTGCCTTTGGACCTGAGTTACAAACTGTGTTAGGATTGGTTTTTTGCCAGCTGCAGCACCAGGTTTTCATGTAGAGAGATGTTACTTTCCTTCTTATAAATCATTGTGTGAATTAGCTTGTTCAAAGCGACTAGCACCCAGAAGCTTGTACTCTTAAATAACCAGCTGCTGCAACTTGGTGTAACAATATTCTGCACAGAACACCAGTCTGTTTGGGATTTACACTCAGGTCATATTACTCAACATGAAGATACCAAGATACCATCTTTCATTTCTTAAGCTGTCTTCAGATTATTAGTCAATGGACTTTTCAATGGACTTGCATGGCAAGTTCTGCCTCTTTACTTTTCCCATCTCAATATATAGCACTAAAGAAGACTGTAAGAAATGAAGGTAACGGGTAATTTATATACATTGGGTTTTGTGTAATAAATCTTGCATGGACACTCCCATTCAAAAATTAAGTTACTTTTGTTCAATTTAGTTTAGTTCATCTGAGCTGCTGTATAGATGGCCTCCAAGTGTAAGGAATTGCAAAGAAGGAATGGTGACAGTAAGAGATTTTAAAATTATTTTTATTTGAGCTGAGATCTCCATGTGCATTCCATAATCAGCCTTCCTTACTACTGAGAGACAGTTATGTTCTTCTCTTTCTGTCTCTGGAAAGGGGACACAGTGACACCAAGGGCATAAGAGCAGTCTGAATACACACACTTGGCCAACAGAATCCAAAATCAGGTGCATGAGGACCCACGAATACTGAGACTGTAACTGATACATATTTTGAAGAATTGGATATAATGAGGTAAGCAAGTGTTGTCTGTTAACAAAAGAATCTGTGGTTCCAACAACGGTTCTTGATTGCTGCCAATTTTTATGGGGTGTTGACTCTTATTTTTCTGTAATTTACAAATTTCCTGTTTCATTTCTACTCTGAAGCAATACAAAGCAAGGGGAATACAATGAGTCATAATGCTATCAAGTGCACATGGTAAACCTGATTTCTGTTACTTGAAAGAATAGAGAAAACGTTTTTCATTAAAACGTAGTTGTTGTTTTTTCTGGTCAGCAAGTGTTACTCCATTGCTTTATGAAAGGTGATAATCACTCTTAGTTCCTGTGTTTTGTGTAATGGCAAGAAAGACAAAGACTGGCAATTAAAAGCCAAAACGTTAATTTCTGTGCCAGAAACAATAGCAATAAAATTCAAAGTTGGCAACTTTTAGCATGTTGAGGGTACAGATTAAAGCAAGATCTGTGATTCCATTTTGACTGATCTGTTTCAGAGTAATTTTTGCATGGTTTAGATTTGGCACTAATTTGGGACAGAACCTGACATTTATTATTAGCTCCTGATGTTTTTTCCAGCACATATTTATCTGAAACAGCTGAAATGCTTTGTCAGTCATTGAAACTTAACTCAGCAGGGTAAGTGGAGAGCAGGCTGCTGGAGCCTTGGTGAGTTCGTTCTTCTAGAAGAATTTAATCACTTCCTGTGTTAAAATTTTTCGTTTTTCTTCCCCTTACTTTATTTTTTTAATTCCTTTTTTTTTAAGTGGCTAGCCCTTATCAAAACGAGTTAAGTGCTTTTTCATCCTTTTAGCCTCTAGAGTTTCCATTCTCTTGTTCTTAAGCTTCACTGATGGCCAGTTTCCTCTATTTTTAGATTCTTTCCTGTCAATTTCCAGACTTTGAAATCAGTGTTCTTTTAAAGAGCTGTTTAGCCCTGGATTCTGAAGGGTCAAATGACCATTCCTCAGATATACACACACACATAGATACACAGATATATACAGATATGGGACTCAATATTTTTGTCAAAGCTATTCATAGTTCTGTCATTTGTAGTCCGTATTGTAATTCCTTAAGAGACATCCAAAGGATGATGGACATTATCTCATGTATACACATTCCACA